GAGCGAAATTTAGGTAGGTGTTATTAGCACTCTAAAAAAGCGCTCGTAAATTTTCATTGAAGCTTAAATTAAGTGGTTAAGTACCAGAATTTTAATATTAGGAAGCGAGTTCATTACTCTGAAGACGCAAAGTCGAAAGTTCGGAATTCGGGCCTCAGAATTGGGTGTGCAGTATATTATTTAGAGCCAAATTTAATGTGTTTAATATTCGATTAAGAATAGTTACCAATCGAATAAAAATTATCGGTAATTGATCAATGTAAACAGATCCTTAAATGTGTATAGTGTGAATATTTCCCACTAGATGTTAATATATGAATCGGAAATAATTTTTGCAACTAGTTTGACAATTATTATTATTATTATCATCTCTGACCCCAGTAGTACAGTGTAAGAAGTAGTTAAGAACACTCATCTTACGGAGCGGTACAATATTTGCTCACGTACTATGGTTTTAATGGATGTGCAGCAAGAGTATTCATTTCCTCGAGAGTATTGATGACGTCATCTCAGACAATGACTTCATGGTGCCCGTTCATTTTTATCCATATAAATGTTTATAAAGACATTTAAATGTTTAGAGTGATTTATTCTATGACTGTTTGAAATGATTCATCGCAATTCATCGAGATTCTGGGATATTTAGTGTCACATTGATTAACGTATATCAAACTTAACTTGTTTATTCTCCGTAGGATTTGACGTCACATCAAAGAATTGTTAAATGTATATCATGTCTTCTTTTACGTAAGTAGAAGTACCAAATTAATTCACGTAATTTATTACCAATTATTGTCAAATGTCGTATTTCTTCAAATTTTTGAATTCTCGATTTATTTAGTTTGATATTTTAGTTTTTACGATTTTTAAATTTTTCGATATTTCACTGTTTCAATTTTTGATGTTTCTAAATTTTCGATTTTTCGATTTCTCAATTTCTCCATTAATCGAATTTTTGACTTTCTCGTTTCTCGATTTTTCAATGTTGCGTTTTCTCGGCATTTCGATCTTTCGATGTTCCAATTTTTTTTCCATTTTTCAATTTTTCGATAATTCGATTACTAAATTTTTTGCTTTATCGACTTCTCAAATTTTCGATTTTGAAATTCAAAATTTTTCAATTCGATTTCGATTTTTGATTTTTCGACTTTTTGGCTTTTAGATTTTTCGATTTTCCAGTTTTTCAGTTTTCCAATTTTTCAATTTTTCGGCTTTTCAATTTTTCGATGTTTCAATTTTTCTTCCATGTTTCAAGTTTTCGATTTTTAAATTTTACGTTACTATTCAATTTTTCGAATTTTTGATGTCTGGATTTTACGATCTTTCGATTTTTCAGCTCCTTGGTTTTCAATTTTTCGATTTATCGATTTTTTTAGAATTCGAAAAGTCCAGGAGACGAAAAATTGAAAAATCCAGAAATCGAAATTTCAAAAATAGAAAATCTGAAAATCTGGATAGATGGAAAACCGAGAAATCGATACATCCACATATTGAAAAACTTAAAACATCAAAAAACTGAAGCACCAATAGATCTAGAAATCGACAAACCCTAAAATCCAGACAAAATATGTAAGAATTGAAAAATCCAGAAATGGAAAAATTCCCAAAATTGATGTACTGAAATGTTGAGAAATCGAAATTAAGATATTGAAAACATAAAAAATCGTAAAACTTGTAGATTGAAAAATAAAAAAAAAACACCAAAACGAGAAATCGGAAAATCTAAAATTTAAAAAATGGAAAAATTGAATAATCAAGAAATTGAAAAAACCCAAAACTGAAATATAGAAAAATTGGAAAATCAAAAAATTGAAAGATCGAGCAATTGGGAAATTGAAACATCGCGAAATCGAAGTATCAAGCGATTGAGAAATCGAAAAATCAAAAAACTGAAAATTCGAGACATCTAAAAAATTAAAATTTGAAAAGTTGAAAATCTAAATTTAAAACAAATTCAAAAAATTGGAAAATGGAACTCTCGATGTTTCGAAAATAGAGAAATCGAAAAATTTTTAAAACGAAAAATTGAAAATTCGAAAAATACAACATTTAAAACAGGAAAAATTGAAAATCGAAAAACTGAAAAATGCCAAATCGAAAAACCGAGAAATCGACAAATCGAAACATCCAGTAATTGGAAAATTAAAACATGGAGAAATCCAAGCACCAAAAGATTGAGAAATCGAAAATTCGAGATGACGAATTGAAAAGCCGAAACATCGGAATTTCGATGAATCCGAAGAAATCCGAAAGAAATTTAAAAACACAAATTTAAAATGGAGAAATTGAAAAATCAGAAAAATGAGAAATTGAAAAATCAGAAAAATCTAAAATTTAAGAAATAAAAAAATTAAACTATTAAAAAATTGAAGAAATGAAAATTTTGAACAAACGAAAAATTGATCAATCGATAAATCGAAAATTGGAAATCCGAAGAAAAATTGATGAATCGAAAACTAAAAAAAAAAACACAAAACTAGAACATTGAAAAATCAAAAAATCAATTCATCGAAAAATCGAATATTTAGAAACACTAAAAATTGAAATATGCCTTGAAAAATACAAAAATTTAAAAATCGAAATTCAAAGATTCAAAAAATTAAAAAATCGAGAAATTGAAGAATTGAAAAATTGAAGAATTCCAAAAATGAAATTTCGAAAAGTTGAGTAATCGAAAAATTGAAAACGGGAAATTGAAAAATTGGAAAATTGACAAATTAAAAAATCGAAAAACTGAAATTTCGCAAAATGAAGAAATCGAAACTTGAAAAATCTAGAAATTGAAACATCGAAAAGTTGAGAAAATCAAACAATTAAAATATCAATTAATTGAAGAAATGAAAATTTGAAAAATTAAGATTCGAACAACTGAGACTTGGAAAAACTGAAATATCAAAAAATTAAAAAATTGAGAAATCGAAACATCGAAAAATCTCTCAAAATTGAAAAATAAATAAATAAATAAATAAATAGATTTATTGTCCAACAGAACATAAACATTCTCTTTAGAGGACAATATGGCTTTCAAAATTAAATTAAATTACATCTACCATACATAAATAAAATTAACATAAATAAAAAAAATCAACAATCCAAATATCGAAAAATTGGAAAATGAGAAATTTGAAAATTGAAAAATCGGGAGGTCGAAAAAATGAAACATTTGTCGACTTTTCGATTTTTCGGCATTTTGATTTCTCAATCTTTCGACGTTTAAATTTTTCTTCCATTTTTCAATTTTTTGATTTTTAAATTTAAAATTTTTCAATTCGATTCCGATTTTCGATTTTTCGATCTTTTGGCTTTTGGAATTTTCGATTTCTCAGTTTTTCCTCATTTCAGTTTTGTAATCTTTCGGTTTTTTAAATTTTGAATTCTCGATGTCGATTTTTCGACTGCGATTTTTCAATTTTTCGATTTTTAAATTTTAGATTTTTCAATTCAGTATTTCAATTTGTTGTTTCAATTTTGTGTTTTTTCAATTTTCAGTTCTTCAATTTTTCGATTTTTTGGCTTTTCAATTTCTCAATTTTTCCATGTTTCAATTTTTCTTCCATGTTTCAATTTTTCGATAATTGGATTTCTAGATTTTTTGCTTCATCAACTTTTCAATTTTTCGATTTTTAAATTTTGAATTATTCAATTTTTCGAATTTTTGATGGTTTGATTTCTTGATTTTTTCGTTGTTTTACGATTTTACGATTTTGGCCTATTGGATATCTCTGTCAATTTGTCGATTTTTCGATCATTTTATGTTTCAATTCCTCAATGTTTCAGTTCTCGAACTGTTTTTCGATGTTTCGATTTTTCAATTTTTCGATGTCCCAATTTTTCCTCATTTTCGTTTTGGATCATTCAATTTCTCGACTTTTCAGTTTTGCGATTTTTCAATTTTTTGTTTTTTTAAATTTTGAATTTTCGATTTCGGTTTTTGATTTTTCGATTTTTCAGTTTTTCGGTATTTTAATTCTTAAATGTTTTAAATTTTAAATTTTTGTATTTCTCGATTTTCCAATTTTCCGCATTTTTCATTATTGATTTTTCAGATATTTCATTTTACGATTTCTTAATGTTTGAATTTTTTGACATCTCGGTTTTTCGATTTATAAAATTTTGATTTCATTCACAAAATTATTAAAGCATTGCTTATTGAAAGGAAAAGTGGCGAAATTTGTGACGTTTAAAGAAAATTAGTGAGGTCATCTTTTTTTGTTAATTATTGGTAATAAGAAATTCAAAAAGTTTAAAAACAGTCAACCAAATCAAAGATACAACTTAAAGTGTCCTTTTCGTTATTACAACCTTATTATGTTTTTTCAAGGATTTTGTTTTCTCCTATTGTTCTGTTTTAATCCAAAATTTCAGGCCATAACTCATAATTCATTTTTTATCTTTATATTTCTCACATTTTGTCTAATCTAGGAATGTCGGTTTTCTGTTTCCGTCTGTCTGTCTGTTAACCATTCTCACAAATTTCTCGATTTATCGATATTCTAAATTCTCTCGAAATAACCAATTTTTTTTAATTACACAAAATTTTATTTGTGAAGTATTCTGGTTTTCAACGCATACAAGTTAAAAAACAAAATAAAAATCTAACAAAAGTAATTTTAGTGTCACTTTTAAATTAAGTCAAAACGGACGCTAGAAAATATTTTAATTAATAAGTAATTAATAAATGTACTTTCTTTCTTAGAAAAGAAATTATGGGAAAGCTGAGACACTGCATTTTTGCTATATCTGCAGCCATACAGATAGATATTTGTCCACAATTTCCTTCCTAGAGAAAGTCCGTTTTTAACCTTTGTTTTGTAGGTAAATCCGAAACCAAAAAATTAAATTACAGACAAAACAATTTTATTTCAAGGGAGGCCTTCATTAAAGACTTGTAATGTCGATTTGGGTCGCCCCCACTCCACCCGCACACCCCCCTCCCACCTCCAATCTCCCAAGCTCCGAACAAGTGTCCGCTCGAGCTTCCTCCACCTAACACCTAGCGAATACCCAAAGCTCTTCTGCCCACACTCGTTCCGTCAACTGACCCATTCTCTAGATTCCTCCAAAGTTTCCTTTTAGTTCTGTCTCGTCCGTAGCCTCGCACGGTCGCTCGGTTCAACAACACCAACCCGTACACGCGCATCAACATCGCGCTTCCAGCAAGAAATTAACAAGAAGACGTGAGTTTTCATTCGAAATTTAACACGCTATTAGACTTGTGTACGCCACTGCAACACCGCCAAGAACTGTTACTCCAGGTGAGCAATTTCGAAAACAGGTGTTTTGAAACGTCAATTAACTAGTTCATTTATCTGATTAATTTGAAGCGCAGTTTTTGTTCAATTCTGTGTGGTGGTTACAAAACAACAAATAAATAATTAATAAGTATAGTAAACACCCGGCACCGTTTTCGGCGGTCTTCAGCGTCCGCCGCTTTGGCTACCGGATTCCGCTCCGGTTGATTGAACTTGAGATTACGAGCCGAATCCTGGTATTATTTTTCGATGCTTTTTTGTATTGTTGTTATGTAAAAAGTGGCGTCTAGACTAATTCGATCGACCCACGCGTTGTTGGATTGGAATAATGAATGCAAGGCCACACGGTATTGTTCGTTTGAACTGTCATGTTCTTGAATTGTTAATGGGAGTGACGGAACATGCTTTGATTACGACTGGGTGTCAAATCGGATATCGTTAGAGTGTAGTAAATTTCACTGAACGTTGATTCTGTAGCGGCGATGGGTTGTGGTGGAATTTTTGGTGGGGAAATTTCGGGCTGGAGGAAATTCCGAAGGATTTGTGTATTTTTGCCAAGAGGTAGTGATAAAATCGCTACTTATAGTTATTATGCAGAAAACTAATTGTTGCTTTAATTGTTACTATTTCTTAGATATGTCTAATAGCACCAGGTTGCTTCTGGTAATATTTAACAACAAACTTCGTCTTTTAATCACAAACTAATTAACATGTAATGAGAATTATGACGCAAACATTATCTTCATTGATTCTCGGAATTCTCCAGCTAGCGGTCTTATCGATTTTAATGTTAAAACACCTTTAATGGTATACAATGAGGTGCTAAATCGCTTACTGTGTAAGGAAGTTACAAGAATATCTGGTATTATAAATGGAAATGAAAGACAAATTTATTTGGTACGAAATCACGATCATTAAAAGCTTCAAATGAAACATAAATAGTTAAGTAAAAAAAGCTTCCAGTTATATGAGACGAAAGCACGAAGGGTGCGAACCCACATGTCGGGATAAAAGAAGGAATCACTCTTTTGTTGTGTCCAGGTAGGGAGAGCACCCTGTATTAACAATGAGGGTTGTCAGTCTGATCAAAATTGGTGTAAAAATAGTGTGGTTTTTTATTCTTTAATGAAAATACATTTTAACAAAACTGACATCCAAAAACTGTTTCCCACATCATGTAATTTTTCTTTAGTTTTATTTTAAGATGAAATTAGAATGCGTCCAATGGAATTAATGCAAAAGCTCAAATTCGTTTATCAAAAGAGGCCTAAAATTAACAAAATTACTGGTGCTGCTGTTGACAAATAATGCGGTGGTACACCATTTTGCTGAAACCAATGTTGAGAATCACATACATTTATGTCTTATCATTCTCACAGACGCCGAAACGAGAACTAAATCATCACTTAAAAACTCCAAATAAGGATTTTCAGACAGATGGTTGTTGAATTTTATTCAAATAATTTTTTTTTTAAGCAAAAGCTGCAGGTATATTTTACACGGTTGCTACTTATCGGGCAATTAACCCTTTGCGTGTTTTCTCGACGTTTCATGGCTTTGAGTACGAAAAATGGGTCTCACGTTTCCGTCTGTCCGGATTTTTACTAGACAGATAATCCACGAAACTACTGGACAGATTGTTGTCCAATTTTGTATGTATCCATAGTAGGAATATCCTCTGAATATATATTCCTATTCTTGTACGTTATGAATAATTGTTATTGTTTAAACCTTATGGTTCGTTAGTCACATAACATTATTGAAGGTTTTTTTTTAGCAAGCCAAAGTTGAAAATCATTGGCTATTTTTTTGGATACATTTGGTCAATAAATTGCAAAAATGAAAACTAATTTTAGGGAAATTCGTTTATGTTTACAACATGAAAAATTAAAAAAAAAAATCGTGAAATAAGAAATAAGTATTTTTTGCATTAATGGGGTATGATTATGAGATCTCTGTAAGAAAATAGAGGGCGGATGGACGGAGCTAGTACCTGCTAAAATCAGTTTTATCCTAGCAGCTACAAGCCCCAACCAACCACCCACCCTCTCTTTTCTTAGAGGCTATGTCATCTGCCAAAATCATTTTTATTTTTATTTTAGCAGCTACTAGATAGGATAAGACTGATTTTGGCAAATGACATACCCTCTAAGAAAAGAGAGGGTGGGTGGGCGGGGCTAGTAGTTGTTGAGATATAACTGATTTTGACTAATGAAAATCTTTCAATTGAAAAATTTGTATAAAAAAATATCGATATTTCCTTGCAAAAATGTACCATTTTAATCCTGTTTTTTGTTTCTTGTAGTGAAAAAAATATTTTTAACTGTACGGAGTGTTCTGTTTTTAAGCCCGAACACAACACAGTTTTCTTTTTAAATAAAACATCTGACCTCTTTTTAGGTTTGACAACCACGGCTTATTTTTGAAATTACGATGCGACGTTGCCACGTTATTCCAATTTTCTTGAATTTTTTTTTAGCATTAGAAGGGTTCACAAAAAAATCACAGTAGGATTATTTTTAACGTTTGTCCTAAATTTTTGATGGAGAAATAAAGAAAAGTACGCGTTTTATTGTGGTATAAATGTTGTTGTTATTTTTTTTAATATTCTGTGTTGAAATATAAAAAATACAAAATTTAGGTGTTTCTACAATAAATTCAATTTAAGCCTACTCAATTATTTCGGAAATTAAAAAAATGTGTTTCAACGAATTAATGTATTTAATTTTTTTTGTTTTCTTTCTTTTTTGTATTTTCTATTTGAAGTTGATATTTATTGCGATTTTTTCCTTTTTTAAAAAACACATCGACATATTAGAAGAATGAGGACAAAAAATAAAGTAAGATACAGTAATAAAATACAGGATGTTCTATTTGTGAAAACCGAAATATGGATATTTGAAAAATTTTAGATTTTTGTAAACACTCTGTATATTAAAATTTGATTTAGATGATACCACACAAAGCGCATACCTTTATATAGCGATTTTTTTTGTCAACCAAAAAATTTCAAGAAAATTGATAACGTGGCAACGTCGCATCAAAATTTCAAAAGTAAACTGTTGTGGGAAAGCTCGATCAAAATATGTAAAAATATATAGGGTGTTTCATATAAAAACACTAAGGGCCGGTTTATAGAACAGCGAGTTAAATATTTAATCCTCGATTAGTTTAACAGAGAATTAAAATGTGGAATATGATCCTGTGATTGGTTAAAATATGTGCGTTGCCTGGCAACGGACCTCAGTTAAAAGTTAATCGCGAATTAACTTTAACATCGCTTTCTATAAATCGGGTCTAAGTTGTGTATTACGCCTTAAAAGCAGAACACTGTATAGTTAAAAATACTTTTAGAATATAGTCCTCAAAGAACCGTTCAACTTCAGTTTTTGACTTTTTCTTCTGTTTCTAATAATGAAATAATGAGGATCGCGTGCTTAATGAAACCCTGTGTATACATTATTTAATTAAATAATGACCTACGAAAGTTAAGAAATTTGTATTATTTATATACCATAAATTTAATTTTCTTTAATATGTCAAATATTTTAAAGGAACAGTTATTAAAAATTAATAGAACTTAAAATTGCTGTGAACAAAATTGTTTTTTTTCTTTATTGATTTTTTGTTGTTTGTTATAACAATGGAATCAAAAAATTAATTCATAGCTTATCCTAGCAACTTAGCTCCTTTTCAGTAAAGTGCCATTTCCCTAAATTTTATGTAAATAACTACGAATAAAATTTTAAAATGACCAAAAGTACGATTTCTAAAAGTAAAAATTTAATTTTGAAACTTATGGTTTTGATTAATTTTGGGTTATTTTCTGAAGGAGAAATTGAGAAGTCAAAAACTTGAAAAATCGCGAAATCTAAAAATAGAAAAACTGAAAAATCCAAATATCGGGATATGAAACAATCGAAAAATTCGGAATATCGATGAATCGAGAAATTGAGAAATCAAAAAAATTTAAAACTCGAAAAATAAAAAATTTGAAATCGAAATTAAGGATCGAGCAATTGAAACATCAAAAAATCGTAAACTTAGAATAATTATCGAAAAATTGAAAAATCCAAAAATCGGAAAATTCCCAAATGTGAAATATTGAAAAATTCAGAAATCGAAAACTTGAAAAATCGAGAAATCTAAAGATTGAAAATTCGAAAAGTTTAAAAATGGAAAAACCGAGATGTCAAGAAATCGAAACATCAAAACTCGTAAAATCCAAAACAGGTGAAATTTAAAAGATTGAAAATTTGAGAAAACAAATAATTGAAAAGTCTAAACATTTGAAAAATTGAATATCGAAGAATCGAAAAATCTGAAATTTCAGAAACTGAAAAAATTAAAATATCGAAAAATTAAATAATCCCGAAATCGAAACATCAAAAAAATAGAAAAATTCCAAAATTAAAATTTAGGGATCAAAAAGTCGTAAAATTGAAGAATCGAAAAACTAAAAAATCGAGAAATCTGAAAATAGAAAACCTGAAAAATCCAAATATCGGGATATCAAACAATCGAAAAATTGAAGCATCGGAATATCGATGAATCGAGAAATTGAGAAATCAAAAAATTTTAAAAATCGAAAAATCAAAAGTTTTAAATCGAAATTAAGGATCGAGCAATTGAAACATCAAAAAATCGAAAAATTAAAATAAATATCGAAAAATTGAGAAATCCAGATATCGAAAAATTCCCAAAAGTGAAATATTGAAAAATTGTGAAATCGAGAAATCTAAAAATTGAAAATTTGAAAGTTTTAAAAATGGAAAAATCGAGATGTCAAGAAACCGAAACATCAAAAACGGTAAAGTCGAAAAATGTGAAATTTATTATTATTATTATTATTGAAAAATTAAAAATTTGAGAAAACTGAAAAGTCTAAACATTTGAAAAATTGAATATCGAAGAATCGAAAAATCTGAAATTTCAGAAACTGAACAAATTAAAATATCGAAAAATTAAATAATTCCGAAATCGAAACATCAGAAAATAGAAGA